TAAAATCAATACCAAGCTGGGCAGCTGGTCGGAAACACATTTAGAAGTATAGATTCTGCTGGGCCAGGGTGGGGAAAAATCAGCATTGTAGGAAGGGTCATTGATTGGGAGGGCAGCAGCCAGCACATTGTCTTCTTGTTTTGGCAAGTGGGATGCTTTGTTGGAGGGACCCTCTTGGTCCCAGGCACCGGTCGTACTGTAAGGCTTTGTGCATGGGAGAAAGATGCACATCCATCCCTGGTTTCTCTTGGTTTGGGCTTTTATAGTTTCAAAAATCTAGAGAGGGAGGATTGTCTGGTTTTAATAGGGACAAAAATATCTGTTTTATCTTGGAAAGGTTTGTGAGCCTGAAAACTTGCCCATTTTCCTCCCTGCATGATAATGGAGTTCTATACTATATTCTGTTGATCCAATAGATTTTTATTTCCTTTCCCCACAAACTTCGCATCCTCCTGCAAATGCCAACTCTCTGTGTCCTGCTTCCCCAGGACCCAAAATGTTCTCTGCTGCTCTCGTCCTGGAGCACACAGTGAAAATACAGCTGGATTGCTCCTCGTTGGGATCAGCCTGTTCTGCTGTTGTGTGCAGAAGCAGTGAATAGCAATGAGCCGTGTGGGTCGTGTTAGCATTGCTTTTCCATGCCCACAGCAAAGGAAGATTATCCAAAGGACAAGAGGAGGGACTCGGCTTGAAAAGGCTGTTTCATGAGTCTTGCTTCTCTGGCAATAAAATGGGAAAGCAAAATTAAAGTCCTTCTTGAGGCAGAGGTGTGATGCAGAGTCATGACTCAGCTCTGTATTTAGACATGTGTTGTCAAACCTATTTTAAGGTCTAAATCTTCTTTTCCTCTGTTGCCCTTGTTCTCTGTCCCTTCAGTAGTGCTATGGTGGTTAGCTGCCTGCTCCTGGTTCCACCTCAGGGGATGGCAGAGGAAAGAACAGGAGTGCTGTTTGCTCCATCATGCCTTCCCTTATGTTGTGGACTGTCCTCTGCATCTCACAAGGGACTTTTTTTTGGTTCAAATGCTTGTGGTAGGGAAATCTCCTACTTGTACCCCAGTGTGACTCCAGATCTTGTCAGCCTATTGCATGATGGAGACAGATGATCCCCAGGAAAGTGTTACACCCCTGAGAAGGTTTATGAGAGTACTGTGGGCCTGAAGTTGGGACAACATCTCTGTGTCTTAATGAGCCAGCAGTGTGGGACAGTGTCAGAGCCAAATAAGCATCTTTCCATGGCAAAGCAGAGGAAGAAATAACTGCAAGAGTCTCTCATCATGGCATGCACCATGCACGCTTTCTTTGATATTTATTCTTTTTGACAAATAAAGGCTCCCCTGTTGTTTTCTGTCCTTGCAGGGGACAGAGCTGAATGACGACCGCACACCCTCCGATGCCACTGTCACCACCACCTTCACTATCCTTGTCATCGACGTCAACGACAACGCGCCCGAGTTCAACAGCTCGGAGTACAGTGTGACCATCACAGAGCTGGCCCAGGTGGGCTTTGCCCTTCCCCTCTTCATCCAGGTGCAGGACAAAGATGAGGTGAGATATCCCTTGCCACAGGCGCTTCTGTCCCTTATTTTTGGGGTAGCACTGGTGTGGTTTTAGAGTCTGCAGGGAAGGATAAGTCACTGATGAACCTGTGAAAAGGTGCAAGGTTATATCTTGATATCCACTTTTTCAGCTCTTCCTGGTGCTGTTGCTCTGCTTGCTGAGTACCTCAAGTGCAGATTCCTTCCCCAGGGCACAGGCACGACACAAGCTTTAATGCAGTCAGGATTGTATGGCCCCTGAGAGCCAGAAAATAGGATTGTGTGGGATGCTGATTCCCCCGGCTTCTGAGGGCTCTTGTTGGGCAGTGCTTTGCCAGTCTGGCTTAGAAAAGGAGGAGTTTTTCTGCTGGGGTCCCAGGGGATCTGCAAAGAGGGGACAGACAGGAGCTCTGGGAAGCCCCAGCGAGGACAGGTGCTGGAGCTGTCAGGGAGGAGGTAAGAGATACCCACTAGTGTGGGGGGGGACAGGGATACCAGTTTATCACTGCAAACAAGCCGGGAGCATCGGAGGCTTGTTCCTCCCTCGTGTTAATGGAGCTCCTATTTGTCACGCACCGATCCATGCCATGTTAGGGACTGCAGCATGTTTTCCAGCCTTGGGCTTGCAGCCTTCAATTACTCTGATTATTTGACTTGTGCAGTTCACGTCTGGCTGCTTCTGTGTGCTGGTCCCCTCCAACCCGGCCACGTTGTGTGGTGTCTGCTTCAAACAAGTGCTGACACCTCATGGTGAGCTTTCCAAAATCCCTTAGAAAGGCTCTGGCTACAGACTCCTTCTGTCCCTATTCCTCTTCAAGCTGAGTGGGAGATGAGGGGAGACAATAAATGGCATCATAGAATCCTAGAGTGGTTCAGGTTGGAAGGAACCTGAAAGATCATCTCATTCCAATCCCCCTGCCACAGGCAGGGACACCTTCTGCTAGACCAGGTTGCCCCATCCAGCATCATGGCAAAACAGCATCAGGATGTTTGCCAGATGCTTCAGGTAAATGATGTGATAGCATTGAGGAATGGGAAATGGAGCATCTCCCCCGACCCCCAAAATCCCAGGGGGTCGATTAAAATGTGCCTCTTCTAAGATGCCTTTGCTGGCTGAGGCAATGGATTTGTTATTCCCAACTCCTGGGTGGAGTTCACAGTGTCTTGTCAAGCCACCTAGAAATCCCATTTTTTTTCATCTGAAGTGATTATGACACAGAGCTAATAATCTACTTGTGACATGATGTCACCATCCAGGAGTTATGAGTTCAGCCTGAAGAGGTGCAGATGAGTTATTAAGCAGATAAAGAGTCTGTTTTTTCTTGAAAATGTCAATTGCTAATAAAGAAGATATGGATATGACAGATGCTGAGGATAGTTTCTGAATAGAGCCGCTGTCGTGCTTTCTGAGAGATGTCAGCAGATCCATTCTTGAAGGGCATTGTAACGCTTCTGTTTGTGCCAGAAGGATGAAGGATCTGTCATTATTTCTGGTTAAAAGCTCATTTTACTGCAGTGAATTCCATTCAAGAATTCACTTTTCAGTCTTGCTAATTTTAAAATGGGAGAATAAAAAATAGCCTTGCTTTCCCCATTGCACCAGCAAAAAATAGACCCCATTCTTTTGATGTATTTTTTTAACTTCCTGAGATTTCCCCAAAAGAATTGGCTGAGATTTTTAAAATTGCTGAGAGAGGGCCTCTTGTGCAAAGGGAGTCTGAAGGAGTTTTGCTGTACATGTCTTCAGAGACCATCATGTTATCAAGGATTACTTTGACCATGGCATTGTTTTCCCTGATAAGAAGCAGAGGAGAGCTGATTCTTGGAATATCTGGAGGGAGGGAAGTTACAAGCAATTGGGTCTTCCATTTCTGCATTATCCTGTGGTGGATCTTTGCTTGCATCTGGATTAACCACTGAGGTAGCACTTTGAGAGGAAAAAATAGGGAGAAGATACCCAGGCTGTGAAAAATATGTATGTGAAACAGAAGTGGGACTGTACAGTGCAGCGAGGCTTGTTCTAGCAATGCTTCTCAGGCAGTGTATTTCTAGAAGTCTCAAGACCCCTAAACTTTCAGTAAAAACCTACAGAAAGGGAAGATCATTGCCTGATGGTGATAATTTGGATGCTGAAGTACCTCGTGAGAGTTGTGAAGTTTTTATAAACCATCTGGATTTGAGGTAGCTGAGATGTCGTCAAGCTTTCTCTGTGGGTGCAGAGGTGGAGGGATGTGTTGGCAAAGGGCAAGGTCTTCAGGCAGGGATGTGACTGGGGATGTGGCTGACAGAAGCTGTTTCGGCAGCACGGCCTTCATGCTGGAGATGACATGACTCATTTGTGTAAGGGGCAAAGGAAAACAAGAAGAGAATTATACATGTCTCCAGGGAGAACAGATAAATAAATGAGAGCAGATGGGTTGAGACATGGGAAATCAAAGCTAGAGTCTTTGGGAAGATCATTTTTCTCAAGTTTTGTCTCCTGCCTCCCAACTTACTTAGTTGAAGTACTGTGAGAGCCCCTTAGCAGATGGATTTCTTTCTTGAGCCAAGCCACCCAGCCTTGTTCTGACCCCTCCAGAAAATTCCTGCTCTGTTCCTTCAGCCCTCATGCTTGCTGAGGTCCTGCCTGGATGGAGCACTCCATGCCTGGACCTTGCTCCACGCAGGCTATCCGTGGGCAGCCTGCCTGCCATCACCCCCAGTTGTGCCTTTGTCGAGCTGGGGAAAGGGGTGTCATGTGGGCTGCCAAGGCTGTTAAACAAGGTTTTCATAGTCAAGCCCACACAGCCTATTTTAATGGTGGGTTTTGGTCTTTCTTTCTTCTGGTATGTTTTGCACAAACTTAAATGATGGCTTTTTGAAAGAGTTAGATTAGACGATTCAGCAAAGCACTTAAAAATGTATTTGCGTGGCACACAAGACTGCACTTGAAAGCCTGTGCTTGGCTTTACCTCTGTGTTTAAGTGCCTCTCTGGAGCTTGGCTGGCACTAACCTCTCAGACAAGGTACCTAAGCAGGTACCTCCAAGTAGAAGCTCTTTCCTCTGAGTCTGGCCCTGCAAATTCCCAGCTGCTGTCCCCCAAAACGTGGTCATGGTCTTGCTCCAAGAGGAGCTGGCTGGGTGCAAGGTGGGATGGGGAGCATCTCAAGAGGATGCACTTGAGCTGAGGTGACTCCAGGACTCCAGGCACAGATTTGGGGTGCAGCCAAGAGGTGTTCAACCAGGTGTGCTGGCCTTTTTTTTTTTCATTCTCTGTGGATTATTGAAAACACTTGAATGAAGGAGAAATTGGTACACAAGTTTTGCAGAGTGTTTTGTCCTTCTTGAGCAGTCTGGGCTAGTAGAAGGTGTCCCTGCCTATTGCAGGGGGTTGGTCTAGATGAGCTTTAAGGTCTCTTCCAACCCAAACCATTCTGAGATTCTATGAACTGAGAAAAACACATTAACCACTGTGCAGCTGAATTTCCCTCCCTGCCAGATAAAGAGCAAACCATTGAATACCTTTCCAAAGCCATTTGAGAGCTGTTTATGAAAATCCATGGAAGTTTCCCAGTATTTAGACTGAGCCTATACTCCACTGGACACTGCAGAAGACTGGTGTGATTCTACCACCTTCCTGGGCAGACCGTTCCACAGTCACACAACCCTTTCTGTGAAGGAATTCATCCTGATATCCTTTCTGGATATGCTGGTATTGTACAGTCTGGTGGCTTGATGCAGTATCTTAGGGAGAAGGCAAAGTTTGGCCATGCAGGGAAAGGATCAGGACATCCTTCAGGGCATCCCCCATTTCCTATGACTGTGAGATACACAGAGGTGTGTTAAGAGAAGTGGCAGCATCCTTTTCCAGGGCATGCCAGGGAAACCAGCTCTTCTACCGTGGCTTCCACTTGATTTTCCTTGATGCGGTTGAGTGAAGAGGAAGAAAAGGGCAGAGGCTGTCTAAAGCACCAGGGTGATGGTCTGACATTTGAAAATAATTTTGAAACAATACCCTAAAATAAGCATATTGAGGAAGATAGATGGGGAATTTGACAAAAGAAAATCCAGGCCACGGGAATACACTCATTGTTGCACAGAGCTCCATCGGAGACTCGTGCAGGGACATTGCATGTGCCCATGCGTGTGCAGGTGCAATGTATGAATCATCCACGGCATATATATGCATATGACAAGCACAAGCACTATAAATATGATCTACACGGCAAGAAGCTGTAAAGGGGAATTGACGGCACACAAGTATTCTCTCCCGAAAGTGCCAGCTGCCAGTCGGGCTGAATTAGATTTCACAGGGGTTTTTGCAATACATGGAATTCACCAGCAAATTACCCTTAAAGAGGGAAAATCAATCATTTGGAGCAGAGATAAGCTGAAGGCGAGGCAGCCTCGGATTGATCCCGTCTGTGCAGGCGTGTGTGGAATTCAGCAGATAACCTGGGGAGAGCAGGGAAGGAGAAAACCCTCCAGGAGGGAGGGAATGGGCAAGGAGTGACACTTAGGATGGACGAAAAGATGGGAGAAAAGGGCTGCCAGCATGGGGAGGAGGATCAGAAAGGTTGGGGAACATTTTGCTCCAGGCATCCTGTATCACCTGCCACCTCAGTGAGGGCCTTAGGGATGCAGGGGACGAGTGCCTGTGCCCAGTGAGCCTTCCAAAGGGTTATTGGTGGTGGGTGAGTGATGGGTGCTGGGTGGGTGATGAGTGCTGTTTGGGCAGTGGGAGAGAGACAGACCATGCCAGAGAGGCTGTTCAGAGCACTTGAATTAAATGCCTTAAAGTGGGTGGAGAGAATAACCCCCTTGGTGCCTTGTGTTTTCAAAGGAAGGATTAAGTATTACTTGTCTCTAACTCACTGGAACCAGCCACAAGGTATCCAAGCCCTGCAAAAAGACACTAATTGCTTTCAAAAAAACCCAATGCTTTTCCCCCCCTCTTCCTTCTCCTCCATTCCTGAACTCTTAGCCCTTTCCTTTCTTTGTAGACTTCCCAGAATGAGGGATATCAAACCCTTTGCAGCTCGTTGTAGGTAATAGCCTGTGCCTAGAAAGTGGCTGGAAGTAAAGCTGGAGTTGTGCTGGATTTTGTGCTTCAGGAAGGTAGAATTCTCCATTTTGGAAAAGCAAACTGCAGTTGAACTAGGTTGGGGAGAGCCAAAGGCAGCCCTGTACTGAGGCAGTGTGAAGAGCAGATAACTGAGGATCCCAGGCTGCTTTTCCCAAATCTAGCTTGCTTTGTGCTGAAAATAATTGTAGGTCACCAACCTATCCTTACATTACTCCATGATTTCAGGGAGTGGTGTGGTTGAGAAGGGGTTGATGCTTGTCTAGGGATTTGGATTATTTTATTTTTCACTTTGTTTTCTTGTGTAGCCACCAGTAAGCGATGCTAAATACTTGCTTTGACTGCTAGAAGGTGGAATAGTTTCTGAAGCATTTTCAAGTGTGCTCCCATGAGGAAAGAACTGTGTGGGAGCAGGAGTGATGGATGAAGCCAGAGGGTCACATTGGGTGAAAATGCAGGGATAGAAATTATGATCCATCCTCAGTCCCAGCTGAAACAGCTGATGTGTCTGCCCCTGGCCTCCTGATGGGAGAAGGGGTTTCCTGATTTGTGGTGAACTGTGCCCTGTGAGTGCAGCTTGCAAGCTGGGAGAGCAGATTTTTAGCATGATTCACAGCAGGTGCATGAGTGGGTCCCACATGATGCTTGAGATCTCTGAAGGGACACCCATATCCGCCTCTTAGCATCTCACAGCCTCATGCCTGAGCTTCTGCCCTTGCCTGCCAGTCCTAGTTGTGTCCAGGGATGGGATTCTCCCTTCTGCTCCAGGTCCCTGGAATTTCAGAGGGATATTGGGCACATGGGACTGGCAAACAGTTCTGTCACAAATTGTTTAAGAAAGAAGCATGATCAGTCAGTGGTGGCTTTTTTGGACAGGGGTATCGGTGTGAGGTTGATGCTGGCACCGCGGCAGCAAGGCCACAACATGGCTCCTGTTACACTCTCTGAGGAATACACATGCAAAGAACAAAGTCATAATTATGCCCAAATGCAGCTACAATTGTCTTTTAGCTGAACTGACATGAAGTTTCCATCAGCTGTGGCACTGGCTACAGCTGGGAGGAGGGTTGATTGTGGGGAAGGAGGCAGCGGGCAGCAGCCTCAAGCCACAGCGAGAGCTGGCCCCATGCACTGGCACGGGATGAGAGGAGCTGGGAAACGTGAGGCTGCATCCCAGCTTTGGGCAAGAACAAACTTCCTCTGAAACCTGTTTTTTTATGGCTCAATTTGTTTCAGATGGAGACAGGTTTATTTTTGTAGGGTTGCTATGCTTTGGCAGGCTGCTCCTTAATTTGTGCCTCTAAAGGGAGGCAAAGGACCTGGTTTGTTTTCGGTGATGGGGAAAAACTGGAGCCATGCAGGAGCTGGTAGGTCGGGGAATGAGCAGGTAAAGCAGATCACGCACTGATGGCAGCCCTGTGCACCCCATCTTCATCCTTGGCACCACAAAGACATGATGCTCAGCTGTGATCACTGCACACTAGGACCTTTGAGAGCCCGAGGTTGCAGTGCTTGTTTTTCTTCTTCCCAACCACATTTCAGATCCGTTGTTTGCTCTGGGTGGCAGGAACAGGTAGGAAGGGGTGAGGAAAATGTAAGCAGCTCCCTATGGCTTCTTCCGGAGCAGGGGGTCCTTGCTGTGAGCTGGGCTTAGTCAGCCCCTTCTGCTGGGCAGCTGATAACAATTTGAATATTCAGATTTGCTTTCAGGCATCCACAGGGGGCTCACAGGCTCCGGGAACCAGGAGCAAGGAAAGCAGCATGGGGGCCGAAACAAAAAAATAAATAGCCGAGAAAATATATAAATGGCAACTCTCAGCAGCCCTCCCAAGAGGCAGCTGTGTTCCCCCTCCCCAGACGTCAAGTGGGGAGACTGAGGCACACGAGGGGCTGGTAATTAGGGATGGTGGGTATCTGGAGGCTGATCTCCTTGCCCAGCTGGAGGGGAATTAATCCACCCAGCTCTCTTCCCAGAAACACTTGGGTTTCTTTTGATGTTTCAACTTTTATCTCATGCCTCCAACAAACTCACTCTTCTCTGTCTTCCAAGAAAATCCCTCGCATCTCGCTGCCACAAAAGGTGCTTTCGTGTACTGCAGGGCAGGCACCAAGTCCTGGCAGAGACACTGAGGGCTCGGCAGCAGAGCCAGGCAGAAATTCCTCAATGAAGTGGCTTTTTGTTGCTGGTGAAAAATGGTCATTTGTTGTAAACTGACAACCTAATGATAGAGCATGAAATAGAGGCTTGGGGAGTGATGTTTCCTCCTGCCGTTCTCTGTATCCTCTGCTTCCTCCCTCCTAGGTGTGCATCAAGGGTGTCGGGAGCATTCCTCACTAGTGCTGGGATCAGCACTTCCAAGTTTGACAGCAAAACAGCTCAGGGAAGGAGCCAAGTCTGCCCTGAGATAGTTTCCTTTTGTTCCCTCTGTAGGGATACTCAGTCCCATGGTCCACCAGTGGAACACTGCAGGGCTCCTGAGGCAGTGGGTATCCTGGTGTGGCTCTGTGCGGTTTGCTTCTGCTGCAGGGCTCTGCCAGAAATGCTCAGCTTGCCCTCAGCATCATGGATGGGCAAGAAGGGATCCTGCTTTAGTCGCTGGCTCTTGGCGGTCACACTTAGGCAGCTTTTGCTATTAGTGCCCCTTGGTGCATTTAATTGACCCCTTTTTCTGATAGGAGGGAGGTCACTCAGGGAAAATCGAAAATTCAGCTCTGGCAGCTTCTGAACTTGCTTTTCATGAGCTCTGTTGGGCCATGCTTTGAAAAGGTGCCATACCCAGAGCAAATATCAGTATGTTGGCTTTGCCAGCCAGGCCTTGGGAGAGGAGTTTCGCAGTTCCCAGTTCTTACTGGAAAGAGCCTTCTGCATGGCAGAGGCACCCACAATGTGCCCCCAGCTCCAGGCAATGAAATCCTTGTGTGTGATACCCTGTGTGGTGACTGGGCCTTCAAACAGCAACAGGGGCTTTCCCTCTATCTATGTGCTGTGCAGGTTCATTCCAGGGATGCATTCTCATTCTTTTCAAGTCCATATGGAATTTGTATAAAACACTTTCTCTTCCCAGGGACCCAACAGTGTTTTCGAGGTTTACCTGGTGGGCAACAACTCCAACCACTTCATCATCTCACCGACCTCTGTCCAGGGGAAGGCAGACATCCGTGTCCGCGTGGCAGTGCCACTGGACTTTGAGACCATTCCTCGCTACGAATTTTCGGTAAGGCTGCACCCCCATGCTCTATGGGACATCCATAGTTTAAAGGGTGACCTAAGAGTGACCATTAACCATCTGCCTCTCTCTTTCAGTACTTGAAAGGGGCCTGTAAGAAGTATTGGGATGAAGTTTTTAGCAGGGCCTGTTATGATAGGACAAGGGGTGATGGCTTTAAGATGAAAGAGGGTTGATTTAGATTAGATATAAAGAAGAAGTTTGTTTCCATGAGGGTGGTGAAACACTGGAACAGGTTACCCAGAGAGGTGGTGGATGTCCCATCACAGGAAACATTCAGGGTCAGGTTGGATGGGGCTCTGAGCAGCCTGATCTAGTTGAAGATCCCATGGCAGGAGATTGGACGAGGTGGCCCTGAAAGATCCCTCCCAACACAAACCATTCTGTGATAATCCACACTTTGAAACTCTGGAACACTACAAAATCGCCAAAAAATGGAGATAATAATAAAGCAAAGGAGGTGGGGCAGAGATTTGCTCTGCGCCTTCTCTTTCCAACATCTAAAGGCTCAGCTGCAAGAGCTTAGACAGAGTGGGGCTGTAAAAGCTTTATAGAGCATTAAATGTTGTTTAAAGTGCACCTATCAGGTGCCAAAGCCCCTCCCATCCTCCTGCTCCAGCTTTGTTGGTGGTTTGCCCTGAGCTGGCTCATCTGGTATGGGAGCTCAGGAGAGCATTGTTTTCTCCACTAAAGGATAGGTAACTCTCCCAGGCTTTGCAAACAGTGTCTCTATCCCTGCTCTTCACTTCCCATCTTTTCCCAGCTCTTTGCAAACGAGAGTGTCCCAGACCATGTGGGCTTTGCACGTGTGAAGATTAACCTCATCAACGAGAATGACAACCGCCCCATTTTCAGCAAGGTCCTGTACAATGTCAGCCTCTTCGAGAACACCACCGTGGGTACCACTGTCCTTCAGGTCCATGTGAGTATGAGCATCCTGGTTCTCTTTGCCAAGTCCCTGGCAGTGTGTGGCTCCATGGGAGTCCAAGGGATGGACTTGGGAGCCTGGTAAGGGAACATTGGGAGATGCCAGTGGTGAGACGTAGCCTTCCCACGGGCCTTTCCTGTTGTCTGGAAAGATGTGTATTTGTTTCCTACCACACTAGGAATTCAAAGAGAGTCCTGCGCTATATCTCATCTGCAGACACTGATCCCAGTGGTCATGATCATGGTCTTGGTGTGGGTTTTCTCTATGCCCTGTTTGGAGGCAAAATGTTCCTCAAGCAAATTGGGGCCAGTTGAGCCAATAAAAGGGTGAAGGATGGAAAAAGAGGGGAATGACTGTATTTAGCAGAGCATGGTATTACATGGCTGGGAGCAGAATGGTGGTGCAGCAAGCAGAGGTGGTGGTGATAGCAGGGGGCGTTTCCATAGGACTCATCCCTCGTGCGTGTGTTGGTGGAAGCACCCAAAATCCACCTTGAGAAGACACATTTCTTGGTGCATGAGAGCAATGTCAGTCAGTGTCAGTGCCAGTGTGGGGCACAGCAAGAAGCACAACAAAACCCTGTGCTGAAAAATGATTGAAATAGGAATCCAAGCTCCTCTGGGTTGGGGAATGTCACAGCAGGGAGCATCAAACCCCTGCTAGGCTTGAGGTATGTTACTACTGCTATTGTTGGTCATAGATGGGTTTGTTTGGCTCCCTCTCCAATGAATTTGCTCTGGCTGTCCTCCTGGCCCCCTCCTTGGTCCCTTGCTCTCCCATGACGTAGCCCCTGGTCTCCCATCCATGCAGGCATGCCGATCCAGATAATAAAAGCCCTGACAAAAGGGTTGGGTATATGTGCCTGTGCGTAAGTGTGTTTACTTTACAAACAGATGGTGTGAAACTGTATAGAGCCCCCGAGCTGTTCCCATCTGACAGTTATTAATATTTCAAGCAGATGTTTAGCTAGTCAGGCCGTCAGACACTAAACAATGAGATTGTTACTGCGTCTCCTCTTTCCCCAACTTCCAGCTATGCCAGCATTTCAGAGAGAACACAAAATGCCAGGAGTTGAATCCTCTATGATAAATCAGAATGGATGCAATTAGAACCAAAATCCAAATTGCCCTCCCAGCTGATCCCAAACTTTTAACAACCCTCATAAAGTACTAGCTCCTCCTGCTGTGGCCGCTTGCCTTTGAGCTGCAGCCCTCTGCTTGCTGCCAGGGTGCTGCCTGTCTGCATCATGTCTCTCCAACAGTCCCACGTGCCGCAAACAGAAAGCAAAAATCCTGCTTTCCTTGCTTATAAATCCCTCCTTTTTTTTTTTATTCCTTCTTTTTCAGTTATTCTTTATGGGTCTTCACCCATAGAGGTTAGGGATGGGTTTTTGGAGAAGTCTGGCCAGGCACATGGCATGCCCACTTCTTTGGTGATGGCTGAATGATGTCCTCATGGAAGGGGACTTTTGTTGTCTCACCCCTTTCTCAGTGCTTCAAAAATGCTCCTTTGTGCAAATACATGCAGGTTTGGAGGAACAATGGGTTTCAGGGTGCTAAGGACAAATCAGGCAGCTTATGGGATCAGGATGAACAGGGGAGTGCGTGGGCTGGGCAAGCAGTTGCCGAAGGCTGGCAGAAGGATTAATGCTAGCTGTTGCCAGAGATGGCCAAGCACAGCTGGCAGGGCAGAGCAGTGCCTGCAGCTCCTTCCCAGCAGGGAATCAAGCAGCTAAAACCATGGGGGCCCAGGCAAATGGGAGATCGCTAGCCTCCTGCACAGCCCAACGTCCTGGGCAGGAGAAGTTACTCCCAGCAGCACATCTTCCAGTGAGAGCATCCCAGCTAGCCCCTCTAGGCTGGGCATGATGGGGTGTGTGTAGGTGAGGGGAAGGGTGATCCTCTCTGTCCTCACTGCCCTCAGCTTGGCCAGCTGAAAAGGAAAGGCAAAAAGAAAGAGCAAGCAGACTTCATTTGCAGTGACAAATGGCCATTCATTTCTACGGCATTTCAGCTCCTAATGTCACTGACAGCTGAGAAACGTTGCCTGTTACACGTACAAATCAACTGTAAAACAACCCAAAGTGGAGGCAGCCAGCAGAGACCCAGAGCCACTGCCTGCTCTCTGCTCTCTGCCT